TTTTGTCCCCGAAAAAGAGCCGAGCGACTGGGAGGGATCTGTGAATTCGGGACCGGGTTTTTTTTTGGTTCTGCTGCCCTCGGGGGCCGCCTATGTGTGAACCAAAGGCAACAATTCGGAAATACATTTATGTACATTGCGGGTTTTTCTTGATGCTTTTCCTACATTTTTCTTTCAGTTCGTATTGTACGTTTTTCCTTTGTCTGCCATGATGTCTGGTAACGCAGCCACATAGCGGAGTCGCAGCACACGGGTCTCGGTTCCCGGGTACACCAAGCAGCGCAGACGCAGACGCAGAGCCCTGGTGCACAGAGGTGCACGACCTCAATCGTGTCCAACATCCACAGCATCCACGAGGATGCCAGCCAGCCTGCCTGCCCCAATCCTCAATGTCTAGCTGCTGTCTGGGCCTGCCCCAAACCGGAGGGAGGTTGGGCTGCCTGTCTGGACCCGGTGGGAGGCTGAGAGGCTCGGAGGTTAACTGTGGGACAAAGGATTGCCGAAAATTATCACCGTCAATGGAGGGGCGGTCAGGCAGGCAGGCAGGCAGGCAGGCAGACCATGTAAACTAAATAGTACGAGAACCGGAGTATGCATGTATGTACATGTGTATTCCGATGCTTTTGCCAATTCGGAGCTGCATCCCCGAGCATTCGACGGGGATGCTGCGCCAAGTTTTCGGAGGGGCATCCAACGACATGCGCAATTTGTAACACAAACCCAGTCTCTGCCAGCGCCCCGAAAAGTTTTGCAGTCTGCAGTAAAACTGCAGCAGCAGCAGCAGCCGCGGCAGCAGAGGGTCCCACACCATGGGGGAGGTCAAGAAACCATTTGCTGGTTTTTAAAGCTGGGGAAATCTCTCTCGTACTCGGTTCTCTCTCTCTCTCTCTTTCTCTCTGTCTGTCTGTTGCTTATTTACCCAAAAGCTTCATTCGGCAAAAAAAAAAAACAAAAAAAAAGTAATAGAAGCGAAATATCATCTTGTTTTTGGTGGGGTATGGTCAGCCACGTCTGGATCCTTGGGGATACATATGTACCCGCCACCGTACATGGGTTGTGGCCGCGGATACGATTCGCACCGGGATTCTGGGGATGTTGGGTATGCGGGCTGGGCTCTGTCTCCAGACATAAAGGAATCATTAAACTGTTAAATGTTATTATTCAATGTTGATACATGAAAATCAGCATTGAAAAGTTGTATGCCCAATGGTGAAACTATCAAAATTATTTGCAATTAGCAATCCACTTGGGCGAATAAACTTTTGGGGTATATTTGCAATAAGTTTTGGAAACTTTTAGAGCAACTTTTGGAGGGAAATCTGTAAGAAATCCATTATTGATACAAAGGTTTCCTAAAATTATTGAATCCCATTCAAAAGCCCGTTCTATATAAAGGAAATCGCCAATAAAATCCCTTAATTGACTAAACTCCAAAACGGTTTTTAATCGACAATTAAGTTAATAAGATAATTGTAGCTTTTGTCAACACCTCAGCTAATTCCATAATGGAATAGCAATCATAATTCAATTACTGGGGAAGCCCTAAAATACTGACTTTGTTTTGAGCAGCAAAAAGGATTTGGAGAGAGGAGGCGCAGAAGTTTTGCGGAAAGAAAGGAATTACTAGAAAGGATAATGCCAAGCATTAAGATCGAGTAATTTCCCAGGGATTGCACAACAATTTAACACAATCAATAGCTTTAACGAATTTCATATATCCAAAAACAAGACGGAAATAATTCAACACATATTGGTTTCCGCATTTGATATGCGAACAAGGCAATGATCCATGTGAATATTCCATCCTTTTAGTAAGGGGAATTAAAACTGACACATTAAATGAGTATATTCGATGGAGAAATAAATTAGATCTATTTATATATTATATATAGGTGTAGCCCCTTGAGTATGATTGTAAACAAAATTTGTTATATACGAAAATCGATCCAACTGGTCTCATAAACCGCTACCGAAACTACCTGTCGCTGATCATTCGTTGTATCCAGAACTGAACTAATAAAATGGGTTTATAATATATTTCTAATATATTCAAATAAATATACATAAATACATAGAGTGTCTTATTCCTAAAGTTTCAGTTACATTCCTTAGAAATATGAATATAGGATATAGAATAGGAATATTAAAGAATAATGAGAGGCAAAGGTAAACATAACACACTGAAATGTATCCTAAAGTTCAGCCCATAAGGTAATCCATCCACAAAGTAATCCCCAAAAAGTACCACAATGGGCAAAAACCTTCTCGAATATTTATAATCTTAATGCTAACCCCTTGGGTGCACTCACCTTGCTAAAGTAGCCCACAATGTGACAGCCATCGACATCAGCGAGAGTCATGATGTAGAACAGAAATGGTTCCACATCGTAGTACAGGGTCTTGTGGTCCAGAAAGAACTTGGCCAGCAGACAGAGTTGCTGACAGTATTGCTTATAGCGCTTGCCATCCACCTGCCACACCTGCAGCTTCCCCTTGCGATAGATCTCATCGCCTGGAGGATGCCGCCAGACGCATTTCTCAGCATGCCGCTTGATGCCCGTCTCGGATTTCTGGTAGCGCAGGCAGAATTCGCAAATGTACATCTTGGGCAGGCGGGCAGCATCATCCGGATATGGGGACTGATACCAGACTTTCATTTTGTATTTGCCCATGCTGATGTATCTGGAAGGGAAATGATGGTTCGGGAATGATTTGTGTCTCTCCTACCCCTGGTAAATCATAAAGACTCACTTGATTCCCTTTCCCACGGGCAGATCCTTCAGTTCGTCCTCTATCCTTTCGGAGGCCTGAGCCTGGGCCTCGCGAAACAATTGCAGGTCATAGTCGGGCACCAGGCCCGTGAGACTCGGTTCCCGATCCTCATCCGTGCAGTCTTTTTCCAGCTTCACCTGAAAGCAAGCAGAATTCATTACTGAAAGGATGAAACAATGAATCGCACCTGGCTACAAAACCCACCTTCGAATCCATGAAATTATTATTGATTGGACGAAAACTCGCTCGAGATTCTCTGATCTTGGCCAGAAATTCACGCTGTTCGGGCGTGAGCGATTTGAGATTTGTATGCTGATTGCCAGGCGCCGACACAATATTGATGGGCATCTTCACGCGCTGCTCGTTCCGCAGCTTCCTGTCGTTGGCCCGCTCCTTGCACTCGGAGGCGGACATGTTGTGGTAGATGGGGCACGCCTCGGGCAGAAAGTGCTTGTCCAGATTGCCGCTGAGATGGCCGGAGGAGTCGCAGCCCTCAATCGGGCACTTCTTCTCCGTTTGTGTAATGGGCGACACTGGGCGGGATTTGAGGGAGCTAAAGACGCCACTGCTGATAGCCACTCCCTCCTTTTTCACTTTGCTTTTGGCACTGTTCAAAATCGAGGGAGCTGGCTTCTTGCTGGGGCTCTTTGTGAGCAGCATCTTGTCGTCCTCGAGATCCCCATCCGATTCAGAGTCGGTCTCCTCCTTGGGCTGCTGCTTGGACCTGCGCATGCTCAGCGATCGGGTTAGCTTTCGCATTGGATTGGCCTTGTCCTTGCGCTCCTCCTCGCTGTCTGATCGTGGAGGCTTGCCTCCTGCCACTGGTCGCTTGCCCTTGGGATTTTTGGGCGGCTGAGAGCTGTACGAGTTGCTCGAATCACTGCCCTCAGAGTCGCTGCCCGAGCTGGAGTCATCCCCAGAGCCGGACCCGCTCTCTGAATCGCTTCCTTCGCTGCTGATGGGCGGTGGTGCAACTGGCGCTGGTCCTGCACCACCACCATTCTTCTTGACTTGCGGCAATTTGGCACGAACTGCCACCTGCTTGGCCCGCACTGTGCTGGCCATCTTGAGGGGCACCTTTCGGCCGTTCTTGGCCACCTTTATCGAGTCATCTGTGCTGTTGGAGGAGGAGGAGAGCGAGGGCCTCTTGCAGTCGCCATTCTCTGTGGCCCGAGCGACTGGTGCAGGTCTCTGTGGTGGGTTATTGTTTCTGGATGCCGGCGGAGGCTTTGCTCTACCTATCGCAGGAGGTGGCTTTCGCCTTGCTGCTGTTGCGGTTGTTCCTGTGTTGTTGGCGCGTGCATTTTTCTTCACAGGCGGCGGCGTATCATCCTCATCGTCGTCATCGCTGGTCAAACGGTGATTGGAGGCCGCCACGGAGCGCACTTTACTGGCAGCCGAAGTCAGAGATGTAGCGAAAGTCTTGGGCTTTTCTGTTTCCGTCGCCTTTCGGCGTAGCGCTGTGGAGCCGGATGTTTGTTGTTGAGGTTGCTGCTGCTGGGACTTCGAGGCTGGAGCTGCCGTCGAGGGCTTCTCCTCGGGCGTTGCACTGCTGGAATCGGTGTCCGAGGAGCTGCCCGTGTCTGTGCAGCTGGTGGAGCCACTTGTTGATGTGCTGCCCGACGATGTGCTGCTTGTTCTTTTGTGCTCCATTTTCAGCGCGCCACTACAACTGCAAAGACAACATTCGTAAAGAGCTATTTTGACACCTTCTTGGACAATTACAATTAAGTTTTTTTTTAATGCACCACGACAGCAGCAGCGCCTCCGTCCTTGTATGCCACTTGCTGACCAAAAAACGTGCAGGTGCTACCTGTTTTCCAGTTAAAAGTATATGCCGCACTTTAATGCCTCATTTTTACCTATTTTTAGTGGGTTTTTGCGTTAATATTTACAAAATATTATATTTGCATAGAAAGCAGTGTGACCGCGGATTTATCGACAAATTATACCGCCTGGCCCTCAGAAATATACCAAAATATACCATGGCCATATTTTTGAGCGCAGAACGATTTTTTTATTTCTTCTAATTGTTTATTCCTCTGAGCAGAGTAAAAAATTCAAGTAAAATATGGCATTCTGATTTAATTTTGTCACGCATTTTTAATTAATATTTTAAATTAGAATTTTGTTTTGTCAAGTGGGATCAGACGTGGTCTAGCGGGAAAATACCAAGCTAAGCAATCGGCAACCAGCAGCTGTCTTCTAGCGATGTGATATTTTGGTACCCCTAATTGTGTACATATTCTGTATTAAATGTGCATTAAATATGGGAAGCTGCAATTAGCTACAATTATTTAATAAATTCAGTAAACGATTTAGCTTAAAATAAGCATTGTAATAATTTTCAAAACTTAGGTGCTGCAGTGAAGTAACAGGTTCCGGAATACTTGTCCCATCGCTAAGTCAATTGTAATGATGCGAAGAAATTATTCTCTGGAAAATTTATTCATTTTGGGATCTTACAGATTTGATCATGTACAACGTGGATTGTATACCCATCAAGGACATCAAGCCGGGCCTGAAGAACATCAATGTGATCTTTATTGTCCTGGAGGTGGGCTCTGCCACCGTCACGAAAGAGAATCGTGAGGTGCGAAACTTCAAGGTGGGCGACCACACGGCCAGCATAAATGTCTCCATTTGGGACGAACCCGGCAAACTAATCATTCCAGGTGATATAATTCGGCTAACCAAGGGCTATGCATGTCTCTGGCGGCACTGCCTCACCCTCTATTCCGGCAAGAATGGTGAGGTCTTCAAAATCGGCGAATTCTGCATGATTTTCAACGAGAACGTCAATATGAGTGAACCCAAACGGCCAGAGCAACCACTCGTGGCGTCTCCAGCAGTCCTGCCAGGCGGTCTTCCAGCTGTGGGTCCTTCGGGTGTGCCAGCCAAAGGTGGTCCTGCGGGCATATCTCCTGCCGTGGTGCCAGTGGTCCTACCCGGAGCCGTGGTTCAGCCGCCCATCCCCGCCACAGCAGCCACAGCCACGCCCACTGTCCCTCAGACAGTTGTGAAGCAGGGCACACGGGGCGGCAGAGGAGGTGGGCGTGGTGGTTCCCACAAAGGGGAAAGGCGATAGAGATTTCGTATTAGAATAAGAGCTACAAATTATGTCAAATGTTGTAGTTTTAGGTTTTATTTTTGCAAAATCGAAAAGACACAAATCAGACATACAGAGATTGTGCAGCATTTTTCATCGGATACATTTATAAGATAAATATTGTATAATTAATATTGTATTTTTGTAAGACAAAATCTACATAAACGATCCTTAAGAACATTCTCCACTCCATCTCCTTCCTGCCTTGTATTTGCGTGTGTGTGTGTGTGTGTGTTTAGTGCTTATGTGTGTGTTGTTGCGTGAGTGTGCGTGTGCGTGGGCGTGGAATTTAGCTTATGCTTCTAATCCTCTTTTTTGGGGGGGATCCATCGCTTAGACCTTCTTCTTCTTCTCGTAGTAGGCCTGGATGGCTTTCAGCAACCAACCCACCTCCTCGACGGTCTTGATCTGATAGTTGGCATAGGTCTTCAGTGTCGGCAGCTCCGAGACGCGGAAAGTCTTGCCAATTCCATGCAACACCTTGATGGCATCCTCATCGGTGGTGTCATCGCCCACATAGATGATTTTCAGGTTCTTGGCCCAATCGGCATCGAACTGCTTCTCCAGGATCATCTTGGCGCCCTCTCCTACAATGGCAATAGAATAATGTTTGGGATTACAGAAGGGATTTTAATTTGATACAGAAGCTAATGGAAGCTATTTGATTGTTTAATTTGTACTATGTATGTATATAAAAATCCCTAAACACTTTATTTAATATTGAACATTTGGGATTATTTCATTGACCATATAGGGCCCTAATATATGTCCTAAATTCCAGAGAAAATTATAGGAAATAATAAAATAATGTGCCCCAACAGAGTAATGGATATAAGCTATAGGATCTATGGGCTAGATCAAACTAGAATAATTATTTCTTAAGCATGACACCCAATTTATTTTTGTGGATCTGCCCATATCGAGTTGTAGAAGAACAGGCAAAATACCTTAATTTTCCAATACAAATAAATATAATATGTGTTGGTGGAAAAATTCCAGTTCATGTTTTTTCTGTTTGAATAAACTCAAAAATTGAACCCAATGGAAACGATATTCTCTGCGAGCGTATCGCATCAGACATGGAAAAATGTTTGCACTGCTGGGAATCATCCAAAACTGTTCCATAAACATAAATCCCAACAAAAAACAAAAATTGTTCTAAATTTTAAGAATTGTTATTCCTAGACACACATTTTGGATTGTATAAAACGCCTGCAGCGCCAAGAAACAGAGCTGAATTCTGCCTCATTCCTCACACTGTGATGCCACCTCTTTCTCTCGTTCTGTGGATGGGGTTATTTATAGCCGTCTACGTGGGCAGATCTTCTGTTTCGTTTCGTTTCGTTTCAGTTGTTGTTTCGGCCAAGTAAATGAGTGTTTGGGAAGCTGAAATTGAAATCATTTAGCCGATCGTTCGCTCGCTCGGTACACAGTTAGGAGTGGTACATATACTCGTATATCATCTATATAGATCATTTGTCTGTACATCTTGTGGTATTTCTTGCTGGGGGATTATTATTTTAATTATGTTATTTTTCGTCTTTTACTCTTTAGCGTTTAATGCTACATTTTTGTTTAATTGGTGACGCAGTCTATAGATCATTTAAGTCCCCAGACCACATAGCCATATTGCAGTTTTCTCTTCTTTTTCAGACGGCACCAACAATTCCTCTTCTCTCCTTTGTACAAGTCTGTCGAGACTTTTAATTTTTCAAAAAAATATATCATGAGAAAAAAAAATCAAAATGTTTTCCGTGATTATTTCTGAGGTTTCTTTCTTTTTGCAATAATTTCGTTCTGCCTGTTAGAAATTTATTGCCTTTGGAGGCGTACACACAACCATAATTAATTTTTGATTTTCACCCATTTCATACACGAAACATATATCTGTCTTAAAGATATATATTTATCGTGTATTTTGTCGGCACGGCTCATTGGCCTGAAAGATGATTTTGATATGAGACTTTGGCTGGTTGGACGACATCTAGAGGACAGAGGCGACAAGTGGGTCTCATAAATCTCCAGTGTGGTATATATTTTTGTTTTGTGTGTCAAATTTTAGTTTTTTGGAATTTAAGCAATGCATTGGAATTTATTGAATTTCTTGAGCGGGTTGAATGGGTTTTAAAAATGGAATATAAGATATTTATTAATCTGAATATTACTATATTGCAGATGGGGTTCAGCCATAAATTTTATATCTTTTGGGTAAAAAAGAGTAGATAGACTAGTTTGAATATTATGGAGGGTGGGAGAAGTGATAAATGAGATAGAGGGGAAGTATTTTTATTAAGGTTTATATTGGATACATTTTTTGCAGATTTTTTAAAATAGTTTTGGATCAAAAAAAGATTATTAAGTGATCTTTCTACTTGAATGCAAGTCTATGGTAGAGTTAGAGATACTCTTCTGATGATTCTATCGATCTATATTAATATTAAAATTAATATATTTCAGGCTTCCCTAATCTTCCCTAAAAGTAAGAAGTATTTTTGAAAAATTCAGCACTCAAAAGACTGTATAGAGAGCTATACATCCAAATGTACATATACATATATGTATGCATCTTTGAAGCCACGCAACGTTAGCTGAAAACGTCATCAAAATCAAATTCGTTTCGCCCCTCATTTAGTTCCATACATCTAAAATTACGCATACCCCACCACTAAACTTAGACGAAATGTATTTTGTCTAGTAGAACAGGGAAGGAAAAACTTTCCTACAAAATATAGTGACTCAAAGACTCATACCGAAAGTGAAAACTTTTGTGGATGAAAAATTACATAGAAATGTTAATTTATCATAAGGAATCGAGCGAGTGAGTGACTATATATGTATATATGAATGTACATATATATTCGTAGGATGAGGGAATATACATATATGTTTAGGCGTGCTTTTGACATCAGTTGGCTGCGGGATATTTTGTCTAGAAGAATATTTTTTATATGTGAATATATTTTTGTATATATGTACATATGTGAGTATGTATAGCTGAGAGATTTTAATTTAGCCTGACTTTTTGTTTCGTGAAAATATTTTTCGGCTTGTGAAAGACGCCCACGTATAGGAAAATTGTTGGCAATAATTAAATCATCGAACCATCGAGTCAAAAATCGAATTGTTTCGAACAGGTGCCGAAGTGTGGATGGGGCAAAATGGAATGCCCTGGCATGGGGACAGTTCTTTGGCAGTCACCGAAATGGATGGCAACAGTTGTTCAATTGGTGATGGATGATATATAGCGAATAATCGAATATATATAGAAATGGAGCTCACCTTTGTCCCAGTTGACGCGTGGCTTGCCCTCCAGAGCATAGGGGGTCTCAATCAGTTGGAAGCCATGGGACTGGATCAGACCCTTGGCCTCGGCAATGAGCTTGGCCTTCAGCTTATCGGTGACGCCCTTGTAGTGATAGGTGACGGAGATCTTCTTGTCCTCCACCCAGGCACCAGAGCACACAACCTAAGGATTTAAATGGGACCACACACTTTAGAGATATTCGGAGGAGAATCGCATTCTTTCAAGACGCACCTTCTCCTTCAGCTCGGACACCAGTTTGTTGTGTTTCTCCAGCAGCTCTTCGGGCATTTCAATCTTGAACTTCTTGCCGGAGGGATACTCCACCTCCAGACCGTGATTGCCGGCATAGGTGACATTGGGGAACTTCAGATGGTTCTTGATCTCGCTCAGTTCGCGACCGGAGAACACAACCATGAAGATCTTCTCATTGGCAGCCAATTTCTTGATGTTGATCTCCGTATCCTTGGGCATCACGGACAGCTCCTCGGTGAGTGGGGCCAGGGTACCATCGTAATCCAGGAGCAACACAACCTTATCCGTTTCGGGTGCAATGAAACTGTGCACAGAAATCGAAACTAAGTTCCTCTCCTTCGCTCTCCTGAATATCCTTTAGAACTTACCCCTCGAGGGCCTTGACGTACTCCTCCTCCTTCTTCAAGAGCGGTGCCTTCTTTTGCTCTGCCATTTTATTGCCACTCTATATACGTTTTGAGCGATTTTCTTTTGTATCAACCGGAAACTGCGCGCCGTGCTGGACGTACCTCGACCGATTTAATAATACTAATGACCAGCGATCCTCAACAACCGCACATCGCTTATGATCTATAAGTATCCGCGATCCGATCTCATCTCTGCTCTCTTTTTGGAAACTCTCTCGCAACCTTTCTCTGTCTCTCTTTCTCAGTCTCGCTGAATGGTGGTGCCAACCCTGGCCCGTACGTTGGCCAAGTAATTCCCACAATATTTATGAGGCATATGCGTATAAAAAAACACATTCTATAATGGATCTTCTTGTGTATATGTTGGCCTGTATAGAAGGAGAACGATGTACATATATATATATTTGAAAAGAATGACTATACACACACAAGATCTCTTCTGATTCTATACACACAAAAATTTCGTATGGCAGAGAAGAGTCTTGGGGCAGAGAGGGAGAACGAATGAGATGGAGGCGTTTATATAGTGACGATGTCTTTGATGCACCTTTGTTTGAGGTCGTTTGTGTTTTTGGAAACATTTTGGTTAGTGGTTGACACACTTTGGGAAGAGAAAAATGCGTTGACTTTGCGTTGAGGATCGGGAGACATAGATTTACTTAAATTAATGTTTAATTAGTTAGATAAAAGCTTGTATATTTAATTACTACTTCTACTGTTACTATTTTGTACTATTAATCCATTGATTTATCTGTAGAAGATGTTCTCAAATATATCTTTTCAATATTTGTCTTTGATCTTTAAACAAGCAGAGATTATTTATGTGTTTGTTATAAGATCTAAGCAACTATCTTTTTATCAACGGATAGATCAATTCAACAAGGGATTTAACAACGGATTTATCTTATAGAAAGTATGGATTCTTAAAGTTGGGGATTCACCAACTGTTGGAAAATGCTCTATCTTAGACGATATCTTTTATGTGTATGTAGAATAAAGATCAAAAGAGATAATACCAATAGCTATAGATTGGATGAAACGAAATACTCAACATACTCGTATCATTAATATTTTCTATATTTTTGTAGTGTTCAACCTGCTTTCAACTTATTATTATTATTACTTTTGTAACGCAGATCAGACACGACGAGGACTTGAATTTAGCCATAAACCGATCGTCATTAACATTATTGTTGTGTAAATATTATTCTTTTTAT